AAAACAGGACGTGAAAGGGACAATTAGGGCATGCAGATTTACATTTTTGAGGCCGCCTTTGATATTCCAGCGCGTGGCTGGGATTAAAACCGACCAAACGTGACAGAATTTCAGAGTTGGATGTTTATATTTTAGTAATTGACGCCAGCGTAGCTATTTGTGGCGAAAATAGAACTAACGCAATCAACTGAACTCTCTCTCGGCCGGCATAGCCTGTTCCAGAGTTCAGATAGTGAGGCGCTCCCAACAAAAAGCAGCATAACAAAATCTGCTCCCCTCTTTTTTTTTTCTTTTACTCACTCCACTGTCTGAACGCCAGCAAGAGACTGGCAGCGTAAACATATTTCCTACTTATGCCCAGCTAAAAACGTCGAATTTTACATGTGCCGAACTTAATTCCTATTTTAGTCAACTAAAATAGTTAAATACGGCATTTGATTCACACGTCGAATTTAACTCTCTGAACTCTGTCGAATTTAACTCTGTTCGCGGTCAATATTCCCAGCAATATAATAAAAATTTACTAAAATACATGCATTAAGTTCGGCAAATGTGAAATGTGAAGTTTGAATCAAAAGTCGAACCTAAGTCGAATCTTCGACTGTTTCAGCCACAGATACGCCAAACGACGCATTTAATTTAAACAGTCGAATTTACTTGATTTAAACGTCGCACTTAACATGCATGTGAAATTCGACGTTTGAACCGGGCCTTAGAGCCAAAACTCACATTTGACTAGAACAGTCAAAGTTGGTGAGGAATATTAATATGGCAGCCGAGAACATTTACAATTATTTGCCGTGACAATTTTTTGAAGACATATTTAATCTCAACATGTATTTTTGAAACAAGCTCAGTCCGAATTGAAGATGATTCGGTGCCAACCTCGTCCCCAGGACGCTATTCCCTGGGGACGAGGTTGATTCGGTGCTAGTGAGAAGCGAAGTTCAGACGGACTCCATATGACCAGCCTGAGGGTCCGTCTTGTAGAGATTCCAAAAATAGCTCAAGAAGGACAAGGACCATCGTATGCTGAGGTATCCCAGTTTAGTCGAATATGTCATGCATGGTAGCTCGGGCGCGAAAAAAAATGAAAGTTCGTTTGCTTTATGCGTTTAGATCTGGGATCTTCCACCCCCCCCCCCCCCCTGGGGGGGGG